GCGGTGGTTCCTTAATGGTTTGGGGCTGTATGACATGGAACGGCTCTGGCTACCTTTGTAATATCTCAGGCAAGGTTGACTCTGACTTTTACATACAGATTTTAGAGAATGAGCTGCTTCAGACGTTAGGAGTGGGTGTGAGGTAAGGAGAGACACCCACAGCTGGATGACCGATGACCCACCCACCTGTCCTTATCTTGGTCTTTTAAAAGCCTCCTACCTCCATGGTCATGTCCCTCCGACTTGGACAGCCTTGTCTTCCTTGGATATCTTTCTCATCATGTAGTTCTACACATCCTCCCCGTGGCCAGTCACCCATCCTGCCTTCTCTTGGCCCCCTATACTACTCCTTCATCTACTAGTCGCGGTATAGCCCAGTGGATGTGCAAACTTGGAAGGGTGGTGGAGGGCCTCCAATGCTAAGTCTTGTGAGATAAAGTAAAAGGTAAAAATAAAAAGGTTATTAAGCAATTGTTGCTTAAGATATAAGATAAAATAGAAGTTATTGTGACCTGAAGATACGATGATTCTTAGATGATTCTTCGATGTTGTTTATTTCATGAATAATTTGAGGATATTTATACTAATTCAATATTGATAAAATATGCGATTGATAATAATAATAAAATAATGATAAATGATAATTATAATAAATAATAAAAATGATTAAAACTTGCATATACATGAAGTGGTAATTGAAGAATTGGTTGAATAGCTGATTTGAAATGGACTATGATTAAACAATAACTTCCAAGTATCTCTTTTTATTTTTAAAATAAGAAGTGAAGAATACATAAATTATTAATACAGGGTAGCAGTATACACCACATTGTAGCACAGGTTATTAGTGTGATGTCACTCTGTCTACAGACTCTTTTATGTACAAATTATGATGAGCTCTTTGAATGCTCTATAAGTCAATCCCAGTGCTAAAATACAACACACATGTAACAAAAAACTAGAGCTGATTGGCGCACTTACCGGCGAAACGTCAGTGACAGAACGCGAAGCTGGTAAACATGTTGCCAGTTTTGTCCCTCACTGTAATATATAATATAATCGCAAAATAAGTATGACTAAAAATAAAAGGGTTAAAGTAAAAAGGGAATAGAGGTAAAAATAATAAAAGGAATTCACAAGTAGAAATTTCATATACCGATGAAAGAATTAAAGAGGTCTTCTTGCTTACGTCAGTAGTTAGTGGTACTACAAATGTCACGTGCATAGAGAATTTTACGGCAAACTAACTAAATATCGGTAACCCGTAGCAGAAGTAGTCGCCGTGATAGTATAGTGGCAGTACGTGGCGTTGTGGCCGCCTCGACGCAGGTTCGATTCCTGCTCACGGCATTGCTTTCCAGGTGGCTTTCATCATATTGAAACACAATTTCCTTTTTCGAAACTCTCGGGTATTGTCATGTTGTTGATACCATTTTTGGTATCTGCTACCAGTACCATTACTGTTGTATTTTAGCACTGGGATTGACTTATAGAGCATTCAAAGAGCTCATCATAATTTGTACATAAAAGAGTCTGTAGACAGAGTGACATCACACTAATAACCTGTGCTACAATGTGGTGTATA